TCCATTTGATGAAGTGAACAAACTGTTTCACTATTAACTCAATCACTAAGAAAGGAGGAGGAAGACAAAAACATGCAAGAAGAGGAAGAAGTAAGTCTACCTACTTCACTACAGATCTACAGGCAGAATGAGATCCAAATTTGACTCATAAAAATTGAACATCACAGATCATAGAATCCCTACAGTGTGGAAACAGGCCCTTCAGCCCAACAAGTCCACACTGACCGACAGAGGAGCCCACCCAGACCCATCCCCCTAATCTACACATCCCTATGGGCAATTTAGCATGGCCAATCCACCTAGCCTGCACATCTTTAGATTGTGGGAGGAAAAAGGAGCACCCGGAGGAAACCCACGCAGACACGGGGAGAATGTGCAAACTCCATTCAGGGTGAAATTGAACCTGGGTCCCTGGCGCTGTGAGGCAGCAGTGCTAACCACTGAGCCACCGTGCTGTCCCGGTGCATAAATTCCACCGAAGGCAACACTAAGAAGAGACAAGCAATATACCAAGATCTGAGGTACTGCAAAGATAAAAGGGCTATAGCAGGGACCACACTAACTGCTTTAAAGATTATGCATACATCGCTGAAGTCCTCTGTGAAAGAAATAAAAGAGGTTAAAGACCCACATTTCAGGTAGACAGTCCAACCTTTTACATAACAAATTACCATTTCTCTTAGTCTGAAGTGAACACATTCATGATACATAACCTATAGGGGTTCCTAAAGTGACCAGGCCTCTTAAATACCTTTTGCACAGCTATAAAATCACAGTAAATCATGGAAAGAATTTGACTTATGCTCAGCCTGTGTGGGAACTTCCAGGGTGCCATGTGGCACTTTAGCCCACAGGTTAAAGAGAACTGAGCAACATATTTTGTTTGGAGGAAGTGAGTGAAGTTTAAGGAGAAGTTTATAAACAAGTTCAGCTGGTGCTATAGGAGGGAAGTGGTGTATGAAAACTAGTTGAATTGCCCGCATGTCAAGGAAGGTGTAGAGGGGCTGTTCATCCATGATGAAATGGCAATGGTCAGGGTGAGGAACTGGAAATCTTTAAAATGGCAGAGGGAATTTGAAGAGTAGCAGGGATAGGTGGGAAGACACTTAATACAAAGAGCAAAATAGTCGAAATAGAAGAAGAAAGAGCTGAGATGTTGATGAAATGAAGAGTCTACCATGGTTCTAAATAAGAGTCATTAGACTTGAGATGTTAATTCTGTTTCTCTCTCCGCAAATGCCAACTTTGCTGGGTTTTTCCAGCACTTTCTGTTTTCATTTCAGTCTGCCATGGTTTTCCTCTTAGTTGAGGAAGAGAAAAATGGACTTTCTGGAGTTGGGAGACCAGAAGATTGGAGACTGTTGGGGGTGGGCTTACAGAGGCATGGGGTCCATGATGGTCTGGGAAATAAATGTTTAATGTTGTATTTCTGGTCCTGTAAGTAAGCAGTGTCTGACCAATCAATGATAATAAAACCAAAAGACAGAGAAGCAGGCTATTCAGCCCACTGAGTCTGCTGTGCCATTTAATGAGATCATGGCTGATCTGATCATTCTCAACTCGGATGCTAGCTTTTTGTGAAACATAGATGAGGAGTCCCTAATCCCACAGTGCTGTAGCTTTCTGCAAAGTTTCCCCATTTAAAAAGCTCCTCTATTCTTCCTGTTGAAGTGGATAACCTCAGATTTTCCCACACTAAATTCCGGTTCTAATGAAATGTTACCAGTCCTGAAACATTAACTTCGTTTTTCTCTACAGGTGCTGCTAGACCTGTTGTGTTTCGCCAGCATATTGTTTTTTTTTTCAGATTTCCAGCATCCACAGTTCTTTGTGTTCATTCTGATAATCCTCAATTTCATTTTCCCACCTTTTCCATATAACCCTTGCTTCCTTTACTGATTAAAAATCTGTCTGTCTCAGTGTTCCCTATACATAACAACCCGGCCTTCACAGCCCTGTGTGGTAAACAACTCTGCAGATTCATTATTCTCTGGGGTAAGAAATTCCTCCTCAACTCTGTTTTAAATGTAAAACATATTATTCTGAGATTATGACCACTGCTCCTATGCTCTTCCACAAGGGAAAACAACCTTTCCACATGCGCCCTGTTAAGTCCCTTAAGATTCTTTCATATTTCAATAAGGTTGCCTCTCATTTCTTCAGAACTCCAATGATGTCAGGCCCAATCCACTCAACCTTTCCTCCGAAGACAGTCATCCATCTCTGGTATCAGCCTAGTGAAGCTTCTCTGGGCTGCCTCCAATGCCATTACATCTTTCCTTAGATAAGGGGCCCAAAACTGCTTACCATATTCGAGATGAGGTTTAACTAGTGCTTTGTACAGTTATTGCAAAACCTCCATACTTTTATATATTATTTCCTTTGAGTAAAAGCCAACAATGCATTTGCCTTCCCAGTTACCCACTGAACTTGGAATCCTAGGTTTTTGTGATTCATGAATTCATTCATAATGCCACAATGCTACAGCTATTTTGCATTCTTTCTCACCTATTCTTATAAGTTTTACAGTCCTAGAGTCATAGAGTTGTACAACATGGAAACAGACACTTCCATTCAACTCATCCATGCTGACCAGATAGCCTAAATTAATCTAGTCCCATTTGCAAGCACCTGGCCCATATCCCTCCACACCTTTCCTATTCATCTATCTATTGAGATGCCTTTCAAATGTTGTAATTGTACCAGCCTCCACCACTTCCTCCGGCAGTTCATTCCATACATGCACCACCCTCTGCACGAAAAAAGTTGCCCCTTAGGTCCCTTTTATATCTTTCCTCTCCCACTTTAAACCTATGCCCTCTAGTTTTGGATTCCCTACCCTGGGAAAAAGACATAAAAACATAGAAAATAGGTACAGCATTAGGCCATTTCGAGTCTGCACTATCATTCAATACGATCGTGGCTGATCATGCAATCTCAGTATTCCATTCCCACTTTCTCCCCACATCCCCTGATGCCTTTAGCTGCAAGGGCCATGTCCAGCTCCCTCTTGAATATAACTAATGAACTGGCTCCATCAGCTTCCTGTGGGAGATAATTCCACAGGTTCACAACTCTCTGATTGAAGAAATTCTTCCTTATCTCAGGCCTGAATGGCTTGCCCTTATTCTTCGGCTGTGACCCCTTGTTCTGGACTTCCCTAACATTGGGAACATTTATCCCACAGTTAGCCTGTCCAGTCCCATCAAGATTTTATATGTTTCTATGAGATCGTCCCTCATTCTTCTAAATTCCAGCAAGTACAAGCCCAGTTAATCCAGTCTTTCCTCATACGTCAGTCATGCCATCTGAGGAACCAGTCTGGTGAACCTTCGCTAGACTCCCTCAATAGCAAGAATGTCCTTCCTCAGACTAGGAGACTAAAACTGCACAACCAGACCTTGACTATTCACCCTATCCATGCCGCTCATGATTTTATAAGCTTCTATAAGGTCACACCTCATATTTCATCTGCTGCAGTCAGTTTTCTCAGCTTCCTGGCATCCCTACTCTTGTCAACAGAGTTTCCTAGAACCTCGCATTGCAAGGGGCCAAGGCTCCTCAACTGCAACCCCCCCCCCCCCCCCCCCCCCGGGTTGACATACATGCCTCACTGGGAGTCACACCCTCCTGACCCTAATGACTGACCAATTTTAAATAATATAGTCTGAGTGGTGTGACAACACTCTAGGCAATTTTCCCACTCCATAATGTAGAGCAATGGTGCAATTTTAATAAGACTCAGATTTGATCTGATTCACTGACTTTATTTGGCCATCCTTGCCCTGAATGCAGTCGTATGAATATTTGCCTTTTGACCTGAGCAATCCCATATAATATCCTTGTTGACAGAACGATCGATTCTCATCTTGAACAGGTGGATGCATTGGTTTAGCCTTTGCAAGATGGAGGTAGTTGGTCCAGCAACAACTGTCCTTTAGAATGGGGGACTACGATTGTCTGCAAAAGACATTCATCTCTAGGGTAGGGCGTGCGCTCATCACGTGGATTTCCAGGCTTCTTAGTTTCTGTTTACAAATACTTCACCAAACCATTGAGTCATTGGCATTACACACAGTCTCTGTCTCTTGTGGGAAAGTACCTTCTCATCGCATCACCTGTACTGCAGCATCTTCAAACTTGCGAAATAAATGCCACTGAAGGGGAAGTAACAAAATAAAATGATGGAAACACCAGTTTAAATAACAAGACTGAATGTTTTCTATGCACTGTACGGCAATTGAATGACCAAAAATACGTCAAACCGGCGTAAATATGAACGTGGCTGTTAGGTGACTTACAAAGAAAATGCGACAAATTAATCAAATATCAAATCAACGAAGCCTCCCCAATTTACACACACACACACAAAAAATGCCTAACCTCAATTTCCAAGTTCACAATTAGTGACAACTGAATTTTGTTTTAATAAAAGGTAGAATTATAAAGCTGCGAGTTTCGAATCAGACGAGGCTCTCAACAGGATTGCATTGTTGTCCGTGTTGGTGTGTAGTGAGGTGAAGGAGGGTGGGGTCTGCCTGTTACTGACTTCACCTTCCCCCCTTTAGGGAGGTGCTGGCGGCTGTGCAGCCTATTGCCAGGAGAAGTTGGAGGGGACGTTTGCTCTCACTCTCAGGGCAGGTCAGGTTTCACAGTGAGCAGCTTCCCGGGCTGAGCTGGAACCGTAAGTAACTATTCGACCCAACTTTTCCAGAAACACAGACCTTGAGAAGAGATATGATTGATATCTCAATGCTTTAATAATGCCTATTTCCAGCTTATTGGTGTGTTCGATCGTCGTGGTTTTATATTCAACCTTTAAAGACAAACGTCAGTTGTTATCACTAATTCTTGATTTGGAGATTTCTGTCTGTCTGTGTAAATTAGGGAGCTTCGATCATTTGATTCTGATGCTGTATGTCTGGTGTTTGTTAAGGTTTGAGCGGAATTTGAGTTTGGAAAAGATAAGAGCGTGATTACAGAGGATTTAAACCCAATAGCGTCAACATGTCGTCGGGGCGAATGTACGACAGCCCACCTCCTTACCACCCTGGTAGCGAATACAAGTGAGTACCTGTCCAGTCACACAACTCGGCTTTTCTTTGTGAGAATTTCTTTATCTTCCGTGTAATTTATAATTATTAAAATCAACTTCGATTCTGCCTTAAGGTAGGATAAATCAGACTTGTGAATGAAATGTTTCAAGTTGCCTTCCCTTTCCTCATTCTCCTGAAGGTGCTGGGGTAAGGTACACTAGCTCCCACTGATCTCAACTTTGCGTGAAGAAGTGAAGACAGTGTCCACCATTACCTCTCTGTTTCTACCTGTTGTCTGTGTACTGTGACTGTCCCCAACCCTCTCCCTCTCAGCCAGGAACACTTCCCAATTTGTTTGAATCCACACTCAATGCAATCTGGGATTTTCCTGGTATGTGTTGTTTAGTTATTCACTATCTCAGAAATAGTTTGTCGTTACAATAATCGACTAAACCACTAGGAAAGATTGGAGTTTTTTTTAACAGTGAAAAGCAAGATGGGATGAACTTTAATTCCACCAGCAATTGATTCATTTCAGTAAGTTGCTATTATCACAGAAATTTAACTAATAGGGGTATTTCAGCATTCTCAATATTGATAACAACCAATCGCAACAAAGTAGTTCCACAATATTCTATGTAGTAACAATATTACACAGATATTGTACCTGTAAGTAATAATAATCCTATAGACCTGGTAGAAGTATATAAAACTGAGGGGCATGGATAGCGTCTGTAGTCAGTGTCTCTGTCCCAGGATGAGAATGTCAAATTCTAGGGGGCATTGCTTTAAGGTGAGGGGAGGAGGAGTTTAAAGGAGATGTGTGAGGCAAGTTTTTTTTTTACTCAGAGAATGGTAGATGCATGGAACGGCCATGGGAGGTAGTAGAAGCAGAGATGATATCAACAGTTATGAGGTATTTAGACAGATACATGAACAGGCAGGAAATAGAGAGATACAGGCCATGTGTAAGCAGATGGGATTAGTTTGGAATAGCATCATAGTTGGCACATGGTGGGTTGAAGGGCCTGTTCTTGTGCTGTACTGTTCTGTGATCATTGTTAATCCTCTGATAAGGGCTCAGGAGACCCGAGTTCAAGTCCCACCTGCTGCAAAGGTGTGTAATCACATCACTGAACAGGTTAATTATAAAATACAAAATAAACCTCTGATCTAATGCTAGAATCTTGCTGCACTGTATAAGGTCTGGTCTACTGCCCCAGATGATGGGGCATAATTGGAACATTTGTTGCTGACTGACAAACTGCATAGAGTAGGGATCGAAATTGGGAGGATGCTGATCTGAATTGTTCAGTGCCACACAATGCAGTATGTTGGTCTACTTGGACAACACTGAAATTAAAATAGGGATGGTAAAAGGATTTCACTTTAATCTATGTGCATAAACTATATATTTTTGTTATGGATGGTGTGGAAGTGTATTTTTGTTTTGAATTTACTTAATATATGTGTTATATATATGTATGTAATATATATTTATCTATTGATATGATGAAATATACATGTGCTAATTGCAGCTCTGGTTGTTCTGCATCATGATAGTGCAAAGCTGACAGAATATTAAAATTGTGTGCATCCATTCCTTTGGATTAGAAAGGATACTGTTGGATGCATAGAAAATAAAGGTCTTTGAAAACAATTCAGTTAGCTCTGCCTGATTTGTTTTTGGTGGTCTGAGAACCTTCACATGTTAGATATTAAGCTGAGCAACAAAAAAAGTAAATTGGCAAAGTGTATTTTGTAAAATTTTGAATTAAATGTAAATTCACAGCTGGAACATTTTATACAAAATAGATAACCATTTCCAGGTGAACTCTTGCTAATCAATTTGAAAGCTGTTCAATATAGATCAATCATGCAAATGCGGTGTGAATGGGAGCACATGGGTTTCTGCCATATCGGAGCTCTGAGACCACACCTGGTGTATTTGTTGATGGAGCCAACTAATTCACCACAGACCAGGAAATGAACCCATTACTTTCCTGGGTTATGTACACAGAGCATATCTTTGGGCCAGATAAGAGCTGTATTTCTGTAGTGTACATTATTCTAAATCCACAATTTGATTAGGTTTTGATTTGATTTAACACAAATACAGCTGTAGTCCACTTTTAAGGTGGTTAAAATTTCTCAAATTTTTCTGCTCTTTGTACAAATGCCCTCATGATGACAACAGGGGTCAGTTTGCTCAATTGGCTGGTTTACAACATGCAATGGTGGCAACATCACAGGTTCAATTCCTGCTCTGACTGAGGTTACCAAGAAGGTCCCTTCTCAACTTTGCCCCTCACCTGAGGTATGGTGACCTTCTGGTTAAACCTCCACCAGTCATCTCTCTTCTCTCTTTCTCTTTCCAGAGTAGCTCTATGGATTGCTTGGACTATGGCAGTTTTTTTTTTCCTTTTTTTGTGTTCATTTTCTACCTATAAGTATTACATGCAACTGAGCAATCTTTCCACACCAAAATCACCATAACTTTTTTTTAAACTACTAAAACCTCAATGGTTAACACTGCTGCCTCACAGCACCAGGACCCAGCTTTGATTCCAGCCTTGGATGACAGTCTGTGTGGAGTTTGCATGTTCTCCCTATGTCTGTATGGGTTTCCTCCTGTAGTCCAAAGATGTATGGGTTAGGTGTATTGGCTATGCTAAATTGCCCTTTGGTATGCAAGCTAGGTGGGTTAACTATGGTAAATGTGGGGATAGAGTGGAATGCTCTTTGGAGAATTGTTGCAAACTCAAAGGCCAATTGGTCTCTATCTCCACTATAGAGATTCTATGATTCTTCTATGTTACTAAACACTACCAGTAAAAGCATCTGGTAGCCTATTTACATGCAAAGCCTGTTAAAGGCAGTGCACACCATCAAAAGTATGGGAGAGGTACAGAGAGAGAGGGAAGGGGCTAAATCAAAATGGAGTTGGAGAGGGAAATAAAGCACTGAATCCCCTGCAGTGTCCACCTCTCTATAAAGGAATCAAGAACTTTGATGGACACTGAGTGTTCCCTCTCCAAGGACAGAGTTACAAACATAACTGCAGAAATGGGGCAGATATACTGTGGTGATTTTACCTTTACTGCATGATGAACAGCAGCTGTACAGACTTCAAAGTTCCACTTTTAAATATTGAACTTCCTGATTGACTGACTGATCCATTGCCAGATCTTAGAATACTAAAAAAAAGGTTATACTGTGCTAAAATAAACACTTGTATAGAGTAGTGCCCATTTTGTTGTGAGTATGTATAGACTGCATTGTATTAATTCTTCTTCCAATTACATTACAGCCATGGCTCAGTCTATGCACCGAGCAAGGATCTATATGATGGCGAGATACGGTCCCAGCCAGCTGGCTCCTATTATCCAGATGAAACACAACACTTCTACAAATGGACTTCCCCTCCAGGAATTATCAAAATTTTAGCAATCATTATCATTGTGATGAGCATCGGAATCTTTGCATGTGTGGCATCAACTTTACCCTGGGACATGGACTATTATGGAGGAGGGATGGGAGTAGGAAATGGCATGGGATATGGAGGCTATGGAGGATATGGGGGTGTTGGTACAGGCTATGGATCTGGTACAGGCTACGGGTATGGTGCTGGAGTTGGAGCGTATGGATATGGAGGTGGCTACACTGATCCACGAGCTGCCAAAGGCTTCATGATCGCACTAGCTGCTGTCAGTTTTATAGCACTCTTGGTTGTCTTTATTATACTCGTTTCTGGAGCCGGCCTTTCAAGAACTAGGAAGTTCTATTTAATTCTGATGATCTTGTGTGCAGTCATTGGCTTTATAATGTTTGTGGCTACGATAGTCTACATCATGGGAGTAAATCCAACAGCGCAGGCTGCTGGATCGGTATTCTACAATCAGTTACTGACTCTCTGCAACCAGTTCTACATCCCATCCACCACTGGTGTCTTCACAAATCAATACCTCTATCACTACTGTGTGGTAGAACCACAAGAGGCAAGTATTTTACATGTCCTTCATATATGATTGGTAAATGTGCTCAATTAAATTTGTTTTATATATTTAAGCTGTATTTCATACTAGGCATTGGGTGTGAATTGAAATACCTTGGAGTCTAAATACATAGAATTATTCTTTACACTTGGTGAAGTAATCTAGGAAGTTGGGAAAGGATCCCTTCATTTAGAGCACTTAAGATAAATAGTTTTTGTACCGAAGCTGTTAGGAACAAAATTAATTTGTGACCTACAGTTCTGTAAACAAGTAAACAAATTGCTGCTGCAGTGTGTGGAGTTTACAATCAGTTGTGATCCAACAGTATATCTATTGACTTTAAAACAATATTAGAATTAAAGTTTGTCAGCTCTACAAAAGTACAGGTCTCAGCATGTTTAATATGTGAAATAATATAAACTCTGAACTCTACTGTAAATAATTCAAAGTTGACAGAATATGAAAATCGTATACATCCATTCCTTTTAAACATTGTGGATTAGAAGGATACGGTTGGATGCATAGAAAATGAAGTTCTTGGAAAACGATTCACTTAGCTGTGCCTGATTTGACTTTGGTGGTTTGTACTGTCATGAGCACCTACACATGTTAGATATTAAGCTGAGCAACAAAAAAAAATTAATTGGCAATGTGTATTTTGTAAAATTTTGAATTAAAGGTAAATTCACAGCCAAAATAATCTGTACAAAATAGACAACCATTTCCAGTTGAACTCTTGCCAATCAATTTGAAAGCAGTTCAATACGTATCAATAATGCAAATGCTTATGCTGTGTGTGCTTAGCATTATTTGGCAGTTCTGATCAGAATTCTTTTCAAAACAAGTTAGTGATTTCTTAAACAATATTTACATGCAAAATTATGTAGAATATTTTACACTGGTGGTCAAACCACATTTCTGCAGCAAATAATTAAAAAGTTTAATAAAAAAATTGACCTACATTTCTATAATGTTAACCTCCCTAAAATACTGAAGTTGTTAATACATAGACTTGTTTTTCCATTTTTCTTCAATGTCATGGCAGTGTCAGCTCATAGGAATGGTCATGGCCTAGTGGTATTATTGCTAGACTATTAATCCAGAGCCCCAGGTTCACATCCTGCTATTGCAGTTGGTGGAATTGAATTCAATAAATATCTGGAATTAGGAGTCTAATAATGACCACAAAACTGCTATTTTTTTTTTTTTTTTGCTGGCAAAACCCATCTGGTTCACTAATGTCCTTTTTGGGAAGGAATCCGCTGGCCAACACATGACTCCAGATCCAACGTGGTTGACACTTAACTGCCGTCTGGGCAATTAGGGATGGATAATAAATGCTGGCCTGGCCAGTGACACTCAAATCCTGTGCATGAATAAAGAACAATTAAGATTTTACTGATGCAGGAACTGGTCATTCTTAATTTCTTTTTGATTTCTTGCCAGGCTCTTGCAATTGTGATGGGATTCCTGATTATTATAGCTTTAGGACTAATCATCTTCTTTGCCTATAAAACACGAAGCAAGATCACCAGATATGGTAAAGAAAACGTCCTGTGGAATAAGGAACGTATGAACGATGAGGCACCTCCTAATGTTGAAGAGTGGGTAAGTCTCTCTTGCATTTAGTCAGACATTGCAGATGTAAAATGTTGGAAATACTCAGCAGATCAGGCAGCAGCTTTGGAGAGTGAAACACATAGCATTCAGGTCATTGACATTTTATCAGAATTATTCTAACAGCTCCATCTCTGTGTCTGTCTCCAGAGTTACTCACTGACTTGAATGTTTCCCGCAATTTCAGATCATATTTTAGGATTTCTAATAATATTTTGATTTTCTGTGCCACAAAAAAAGGTGATAGGCAGTTTATCTTCTGGTGTAACAGAAATTCACTTTTTTTAGTGCCAATAATTGCAAATGTGTTAAATTTTTTTTAAATGATCTAAAAAATCTTTCCTTAAGAACTTTTTATTTTTAAAGAAAATATCATATAACAGTCACTAGTCCATCCACTGCTGTCATCCCAGCTATAAACAGGTTAGACTTCTTTTTATTCGTTCACGGGATATGGGTGTTGCTGGCCAGGCAGGATCTATTTATTGCCTATTCAACCACATTTGCTGTGGGTCCGGAGTCACATATAGGCCAGACCAGGTAAAGATGGCAGTTTCCTTCCCTAAGGGACATTAGTGAACCAGATGGATTTTTCCTAACAATTGACAATGAATTCATGGTCATCGTTAGACTCTTAATTCCAGATTTCGTTTTTTGAATTCACCCTCCTCCATCTGCTGTGGTGGGATTGGAACCTGAGTCCCCAAGATGTTACCTGGGTCTCTGGATTAACAGTCCAGCGCTAATACCACTAGGCTATTGCCTCCCGCAATAAGTTTTCTTTTACATAGAGTTATGGATAAAGGAGTTCTGAAAACCTGTCTTGCTCTGCATTGAGAAGTTGCCCTCCAACAGATTTTAAAAAAAAACTAACTGTTTCCTTGTATAATTATTGTTTCCTTGTAAAATTATATTTCACAGTTTTCTTTTGGGAACATACATACCATAATATTATGTCTATCAAATATATGTAGAACAGGTAATTGTCTTTTTCTTTTCTTTAGTTCCCTTATGTTGTTGTGTGATGCCTTGTTATAATCAATTGATTAATTTTTTTTTAGAAACACAAGTAAGTAGCTATCCTTTTAATTTGTTAGTGATCTGCAAAAGGAAAATGTGGTATGCAGTGACGCTTTGTATTGAGAGATATACATTAATGTTGTTTATTGAACACTGCACAGACAGGAAAACTGAGGGATGGAACAAGATGGTATAAGGGTGGTATGATCAAAGATGTTGGTGTTTGCAGAGGAGAGGAACATAGTTACCAGTGGTGGAGCAAGAAGAAAGTAGGAAAATGTTAGAGAAATGAGAAAAGCCAAGTACCGTAGATGCTGGAGATCAGAAATAAACACAGAAAATTTTGTAACATCTCAGTAGGTCTGGCAGCATCTGGGAAGAGAAAGAGTTAATGATTTGAGTCCAATTACTCCTCTTGGGTTCTCCCCAGAGATACTGCCAGACCTACTGAGGTTTTCCAGTACTTTCTATTTTTGTTATTAGAAGAGTGGTTGCTTTGTTAGGACACACAGATGGAGGAGCTTACTGAGATGGCATGGGCTGAGGCCGGCAATTGATTTTTAAGGTGAGAGCAAGAAGCCTGAAATCAATTTTTTGAGTAGTTCATGCTGGACATGAATGTAGATGACAGTGATGCTTTGTGCAGTTTTCTGTTTGTAGATGTAATTTGAAAGTGAATTCACCAAGAAACATTGACTTTGATAAAGTCATCATCATGACTCTGACACTTAGGACCTTCCCAGAGTTCAACAGGAATAAAAAGTAAAGGAGAGAAGAAAGTCTTCTATGGGCCGTAACCCATAGCATTGCTGGTCAGATAGGAGCAACTGAGAAATGAGCCTGGTAACAGTCAGAGCAAACTTGAATTCCAAATCCACGTCTTAACGGCTGTTGGGTACTTACCTTGTTAATTCTCCCAGTGGAAGAGTCTTTATGCTTCCAATGGCATTGACACGGAGGTGAAAAATTCTATGTTTTTTCAACAAACATCCATGGTAGAATTCTGTAACAATCAAAACCTCTGTATCAATATTATTGCGAACATTCCAAAAGTGTGGCACATTTCTGAACCCTTAATATTCAGCAGAAATGTTTTTGTGTTTTTTTTCTTTTGTAGATGTGCTTAATGTTCAATGATGCTATATGGCCTAGTGATATTGTCACTAGACTGGAAATCCAAAGACCTAGGTAATATTCTGGGGAATTGAGTTTGAATTCCACCTTGACAGATGATAGGAAATTAATTTATTAAAAATCTGGAATTAAGAGTTGAACTGCCATCCTTGCCGGGTCTGGCCTACATGTAACTCTAGATGCACAGCAATGTTGTTGACTTCTAACAATTAGGGATATCAATCATGGTGCACTATGACTAGTTATTTTCAAAGGCTTATCTCGAAGATCTTTAAGACTTTCTATGGTTGCATTGAATGTTTCTATGGTTACTGTATTGGTTCATTAGCATGCACCAGTTTAAATTGAAATTTGTACAGTATACGTAAATGCCATGCCATAGCAACCATCTAAAATTAACCTTGACTTTGAGTCTTTGTGATAGTTTGACCTCACTTTCACTATTGAGGTGGGTAGCAAGAGTTTGGAAAATTCCTGAATCACTAAGCCACCTTGGTAAAAGTGCCTGGAATGCATAATGTTCATTTCAGCATTGCAATTGAAAACATTTCAGATCTGGCCCAGCATTAAAGAGCATTTGAAATAAAAACGGAAAATGTTGGGGAATCTCAGCACATCTGACAGCATCTGTGGAGAGAGAAAGAAGTAATGTTTCAAGTATAACATGACTTCTTCAGACTGAGAGGGAGAACTTCAAGAGCATTTGTCTGATCTGTCAATTTGTGACTCCCATGCTGAAGTTTACAGCCTTTTAACATCCAGTGGGTTTGTTGAACTAAGCACAAAGTTGAAATAGTTGCTGTTTGGATTTGCTGCCAGTGTAAATCATCTCAGTCCTCACCCCAATAAGTGGGAGGGGGGGTTGGCATGACTTCTGTATTCATATCTCCAACATTCTTAAAGGTCCCGACTCCCTGGAAATCCTGTTGTCATTCTCACCCGGAGAAATTACAGAATGGTATGGTTGAAGTCTGGCATTCTGTTAGCGAGAAGAAAATGCAACTGGCATTTTAGATTTCCCCAGATGTTTGGTAAATGCCTGCTAAAATTCTTTGGATGTAATTGGGTCTGATCAGATCACATACAATGGAAGAAATACAGATAAAAGTCATGAATGTGGTCCTCCAAATCAGAGAACTGAATTGAGGGAAGACTGAAATAAAAGCAGAAATTGCAGGAGAAACTCAGCAGGTCTGGCGGCATCTGTGGAAAGACAAACAGAGTTAACGTTTAAAGTCTAGTGACCCTCCTTCAGAACTTGTCCACAGATGCTGTCAGACATGCTGACTTCCTCCAGAAATTTCTGTTTTTCTTTCAAATCTTCAGCATTCGCAACTCTTTGTTTTATTTGAGGGAAGACTGAAACGGTTTGGCTTTTCTGGCCCGGAAAAATGATCAAAAAAATGACCTTCTTGAAGGATATATGATACAGAGAATACATCATTTCATGTTGAAGCATAACCAGTTGGGCAAAGGGAATGCAGAGTGAATCTACTTAAAAGACAGCAGAACGTCTGAAAGTTCTTTATGCTGCATTTCAGGTTAAAGTATTGGGGACAAAATCATGGAAACTAAAATAGTTATTTGACAGAAAAGCATATATTGGGGTTTTTCTGAATATTTGAGCTTGGGACAGCAAATCTTATGGCATAAAGGGAAAAAATAATGAAGATAAAGGCCCAGAGCCTCTGGTTTCTGTTGGAGAGAGAGAGAATCCATGCAGAATGCAATTAAATTTTCACTCATCATTTTATGCTGGAGAATCAAACTTCATACAGCATTTTCCTTTCCTCCCCAAGACAGTGGTCTTTCTTCAACAGAGGAGGTAACCGTCAGAGTGAGGGAGGGAGCAAGTCCGTATTGAAGAGGGATACACTGTCATGGTTTCTGTCCAGAATAGGTCACGCTTGGCCCAACAGTTGATCTAGGAGAGGAACAGTGAAACAGGATATTGTTTGATTAAATGTATTGACTTTTTTTCAAAGCTTTTGGAGGAAATGGAGGGCTGTATATTGCTGCTAAAGTGTTACATTCCTTGATCAAAATGGTCCAAAATATTTTGATTCTGGAATTGTTTCATGGGAGTACTTGGCACATGTAGTAGTGGATGCTATTGTTGATGTATGTAACTAATGTGGCAATGTTGAAATACAGACATCTGTTCCTGAACGAAATAAATTTTGTGCAATACTGTCTGAACTGGTTTCAGGGAGCCAGTTTCTGGGTGTGTCTGAGAGTAAGTTTCGGAGGATGAATCTGTAATCTGACACCAGTGTTTATTTGCATGGTCATTCCTTTATACCTCCAAGGAATGTGTCCATCCTATGCATAGGAAATTAAAGTCCTTGTATAACTTCTTGATACGAAGTTTAATTTACAAGGCTTTTTCTTTGGTATTTGTTTTACCTGCCTTTTTAAGTCTGACAACCACATTACATTTGGAACAGGTCAAAGGAACAGGTTAAAATGAATTATAATTTATCAGTTAACACCCATCTCTACTTGGCTGTGTTCACATGCTAAATGGTATTAAATTACATAGGCAGAACAAGTGCTTCAGACTGTGTTTTACAATCCATAAGACAGTAGTTGTTGACATCAAATTAATGAGTTAGTCTAATTCATCATAAATTCAACTTTTGGTAAAAGTTGTTATACAATTGAGTTACATGTAAATTGTATTTTTCAGACTTTTTAAACAATGAATTGGGTCAAAAAATTATGGCATTGCCAATGCTCAGTTGAACCTCTGATCTGCATACTCTTTTCATCACAAAATAAGCTCATTTCCTCAAACATTGTTGTTTCTGCTTCTGCTTCAGCTCATTTACTGCTGC